AGTCCACTTTAATGTGAAGATTTTATTGCAAGCCTTCTTTAAAAAAAAAAACTAATAAATGATTTAGGCTTTCTGGTGATTTTGAAATGGTTTAAGAGATTGCAAATCAAAAACGTTTCAGAGGCCTAAGTTAATTACCAGCCTCCTCCACTGGCTGCTCTATTCATGACCCTGGAGAAAGTTGCCTTCCTCTCTCTTCTCATTTTTGGCTTCCTTTTCCAGGGTGTTGTCAGAATATATTTTACTGTTGTATCAAATAAAATCATGGAAATATAGAGTTCCAAGCAAACTTAGCACCAGCAGTGCCTGGCATATAATAGGGTCTCAGTAAGTGTCTGTGGAATAAATTAATGAATCGGTCAATTTCCACTACTGCAGATTACTGCATCTAGCTATTCCCCCAGCCTCTGCTTCAGGGTTGCCTGCCAGTGGAGGAGTCCCTCGAAGGCCAATTATTCCACTTGTCAACAAATGTAATTACTATCAAATGCCACCTTAGACCTCTGTGAGACTTTCTATAATTCTGCTGCGCAGTTAGTCACATCTGTGCTGCATTTCTCGACATCTTAGTTCTGTCTCTGTTGTATTATTCATCACAGTACATCATAATTTCCTGAGAAAGGGAAACCCCTTTCTAGGTTGTGAGCTCCATGAGAACAGAGGTATTTCCCAGTTTCATTGCTTTTGTTGTGCTCCCAGTACCTAGCATGGTATAGAATGGATGAAAGACCAAAAGGAGGGGGACAGAGAAAATGAGAGGAAAAAAATACCAGAGAGTACATGTATTGATTGCCAACTCATGATATGTGAAGAGGATTGTGCCTATTCCAGAAAGCATGGATCAAAGGTAACTGAGTCAGATTCAGGAAGAAAACCTTAAAACAACTTCCATTTAAAAAATCTCATTTTAATTTCTATTATTTGTGTATGTTTTGTACTATACATACTATTTTAATATAGTTGTACATGTATTTGATTTATAAATAAATGCATATTAGAAGGTACATATCCAAACATTTACTATTAAAGGCACAAATCTTAAGTTTGGAGCCCTCATTATAGCTGTTTTTCAAATACTGTACTATCTATTCACAATAGCAAAAACATGGAACCAATTGTGCTGCCCAATAAAACTGGACTGGATAAAAAAATGCAGTGCAAATACACAATGGAATATTATGCAGCCATAAAGAAGGACAAACATATGCACTTTGCAGCAACTTGGATGGATTTAGAATCTATCATACTCAGTGATCTATCACAGAAACAAAGAACAGAGTACCATATGTTCTCACTCATAAGCAGACCTTGAACAATTATAATACTATAAGAAAGTGATTGACAGTAGTGGGAAACTGCCAGGATTAGCAGTTGTGGGAAACTGTCGAGGGGAGGCACACCTCATCAACAAGGGTGCCTGAATAATGATCATTTGTATACCTAACCCTGAATTGTACACCACATCCTTAAAATTAAAAAAAATACTATGCTAAGCATTTGCTGTAATATTGTTTCATTTAGATCACCAAAAATCCCATGCTATGGTCCCCATCTTAAAGATGAAGAAACTGAACCATAGAGAGCTTAGGTAGTTTTCCAAGTCGGATATGACAGGTAAATGGTGGAATGAAAGGCCCACACTTCATTTCACTGCCACATCCTCTCTTATTTTTCTATCTTAGCACCCAAGATTGTTCTGCACTATACGACTTTGTGGGTTAAATAAATTGAATGGAAGAATTAATCATACTAAGTATATATTAAAGCTTTCTTCTTAAGAAAAATTGTGAAAATTAAAATAAAGTGTCTTTTTATTGTAAAGCATATATTTGCAATGACAAGCCAAATAACATACCTATGTGACATATTAGAATGTTTAGTTCCATTTCTTGACAGAAAAACTAATGGACATCAAGTCACTTGTATACTGTCGCATCCAAAGTGAAGTAGCTGGTATTCTCATTTTCACATCTGATTACCACACTACTTTTTAAAATTGAAATATAATTTTATATCATAAAATTTACCCTTTTAAAGTGTACAATTCAAGAGTTCTTAGTATGTTTACAAGATTCTGTAATCATCATGACCTAATTTCAGAACATTTTCATCACCCCAAAAAGAAAGAATATACCCATTAGCAATGACTTACCATTCCTCTTTCTCCTAGTTCCTGGCATCTGCTAATCTACCTTCTGTCTCTATGTATTTGACTATTCTGGTCTTTTCATATAAATGAAATTACATGGCCTTTTGTGTCTCACTTCTTTCAGTTTGCATAATGTTTTCAAGGTTCATCTAGGTTGTAGCGTGCATCAGTCCTTTATTACTCTATGGCTGAATGATATTCCATTATATCAATAAACAAAAAAATCCTTTCATCAGTTGATGGACATTCGGGGTTTCCACTTTTTGGCTATTATGAATAATGCTTCTATGAACATTTATGTACCATTTTTTGTGTGAACATGTGTTTTCAGTTCTCTTGGAGTATGCCTAGGAGTGAATGGCTGGGCCACTGTATGCTTAACATTTTTAGTAATTGCCAAACTATTTTTCAAAGCAGCAAAATTTTACATTCCCACCTGCAATGTATGAGGATTTTAATTTCTCTGCATCCATGCCATTACTTGTTATTGCCTATCTGTTTTTATTATAACCATCCTAGTGGGTGTGAAGATTATCTCACTGTGGTTTTGATTTGTATTTCCTTAATGACGAGGATGTAAAGCATCTTTTTTTTTCTTTTATATTAAGAGGGCACATGTGTACATTTGTTACACAGATGTACTATGTAGTGGTAAAGATTGGGTCTCAGATGGACCATTCCCCAGATAGTGAATATTGTACCCAATAGATAATTTCTGAGCCCTAACTCCCCTCCCTGCTCCTGCGCCTTATTGTCCTCGGTGTCTATTGTTTCCATCTTTGTTGCCATTTAGCTCTCGCATACATGAGAACATGCGATGTTTGGTTTTCTGTTTCTGAGTCAGTTCACTTAGGATGATGATTTCCAGTTTCTTTCATGTTGCTGCAAGACATGATTTCATTCTTTTTTATGGCTGTGTAGTATACCATGGTGTATATCTACCACATCTTCTTTATCTAGTTAGTTGTGTGTGGGTAGTTTGTCCCATGATTTTGCTATTGTAAATAGGATTGCAATGAACATATGAGTAAAGGTATCTTTTTTAGATATTGATTTCTTTTCCTTTGGATAGATCCCTAGTAGTGAGATTGCTGGGTTGAATGGTAATTCAATTTTTAGTTACTGGAGAGATCTCAATACTATTTTCCATAGACGTTGAACTGGCTTACAGTTCCACCAGTGGATAAGCATTCCCTTTTCTCTGCAACCATACAAAATCTGTTGTTCTTTGACTTTCTATTAATAGTAATTGACTGGTGTGAGGTGATATCTCACTGTGGTTTTAATTTGCATTTCAGATGTTGAGCATCTTTTTTATGTGTTTATTGTCCCCTCAACTACTTATTTTGAATTTAAATTATTTCTATTTCATTTTTCATTTTAGTATTTTTCATTGGAATGTAAATTTTGTTCTTCTTGTTGTTGTATCTGTTTTGCCCAAGAACTCTCAAAGCATAGCTCATGAAATATCTTTTTAAAAATCGCGTGGCCTCTCCTGGTGCCAAGCTGCTGGCACCATGAACTATAATATAAGGCTTTAACTGAGTTTACACTGGCAACTTTCCAGAAAATCATCACATCAGATTATCAGATAACAAGTTTTTATAAACCTCAAATTATGACGATGATAATGCTTTATTAAAAAGCAGTTAATGGCAAAGGAATGCCAAGAATTTTTTTCAAAATTGTATTTTCTTTTTACATCCCTGTGAGGCAGAAAAAAAAGCAAAAGAAGGCAGTAGTTGTCTCAAAGGGTCCTCCAAGAAAGTATATGTAGAAGTATGAATATCTAAGCATTCTTGTGTCTTAGAAAACAATATTTGTGAGTACAACAAGCCTTTCTAGATGTACCAGAAAATTTCCAAATTGCTTTTAAGTTATATGCCAGTTCTGGATAAATCACACTGCTGTTATGTGATGCTAATATTTTAACAATGTAGAAATTGACATTTGCTATCAAACCTTGTGGGTCAGACAGAAAGAAAAGAAAAAAATTGAAAATTCCATATGCCAATTTCAGTCCTGTACATTGAAACCGTATATTTATTATATTAGCACCTAAATAGCTGTGATCTTTTAAAAAAATATGTCTGACAGATTACATATATAGTATAGTCCACCTCGGTTGCAGCTACAAAGTCTTTCAACTTTCAGACCTTACATGCTGCCATCTTACATTCAGATTACTTTTGGTGACTTTTACCAAAAGAAGTCATTCTCAATCTTACTGTAAATTGAATATATTTGGTCATAATGTTCACAATGATGAAATTCATCAAGTCCCCAATAACCTGGGCTTTTTTTTAATGGAAAGTGATTTTTCTTTTTAAAAAACTGCTTTGAATTTTTGCTTGTTTATTCAGTCCAGAGCACCTTCCAGGCACCAGATCTGGGAAATACAGTGGAAGTAAGATAGTCATGGTACTTGCCTTTGTAGATACCTATGAGCTCCAAAAACAATTACATAACTGCAGAGGTGATAAATGCCAAAAGTGAGAGTCCATAATAGATGAGCTGACCCAGTTTGTGGTTGTCAGAAAAGTCTTACCTGAGGGAGTGACACTTAATTTGGGACCTGAAAGGCACCTAAGAGTTAGCCAGAACACAGGGCAGAGGAGGCTAAAATGTCTAAGGCAGACAGGAGTTTGATGCTTTTGAGGACCTTAGTGTGGCTGGTGTGTCAGGAACAAAAGGACAAGATGTAGCTGATCGGGTAAGTAGTGCATGAAGCATGTTAAGAATTTGGATCTCTGTTAGTGGTGAGTCATTCCAGGGGTTAAGTCTGTGGAGTAGCTCTAGAATTAAGAAGGGCGGGTGACCTTTGCTCTGACATTTCCTCTCTTTTGGTCAGGAATATGACTGGAGAAACTATCAACCCAGCCAGATGAGTGAATCTGAGTTGCAGATGCTGGCAAGCCTACAACGGCAACAGAATGAAGAACTGGAGGATGCTGGGGCTTCCCATGGCCTGAGCGCATCCCAGGTTGACAACTGTAATGTCAGCATAAGTACCAGCAGTGATGACACGACCACCTGGAACTCCTGCCTGCCACCTGTGAGTCCTGGGCTTTACCTCTTTGTTTCATTTATTTAACAAGAAGCAAGCTTCTTCTAACAAGGTGCAGCCTTGCCTGGGAAAACTGGGCCAAAGTGAAAACATTCTCTATAAGAATGCTCAGAGGCCATCCTGAAATTGTGTTTTAGAATGGGGTTCAGAAATTAGAAGATGACATTGTCTTAAATTGTCTTATTTACCTTCAGAAAATGTATATAGGGTGGTGTATAAACCCATAATTGAAAGGAAAAAAAATAATTTCACTGTAGATTCTGGGTATATCATTATATTCCCTGTTCCTAGCATAAGCCCCCTGACACATAAAAGAGGCCCAATGTTTGTTAAATAAATATTAGTTAAATAAATAAATAAAAAGGGAAAGACTAGATATACTATTTCCTGGATATAAAGGCAGAAAACACTTTCTGTAGAAGTCACCAGATGTGTGCTGACGCATCCCTGTGTGTGAGTGTGTGAGGGGCCTTGATAGGCACTGTGGATGCTTCAGAAGTTTACATTCGTGTATGTTCACATAGTTAAAGCACTTAAAATATGGCCCATTACCCTTACTATGGCCCAGCAGAGGAGCTGGAACAGGTCTTAGTCTTCCTGTTTTTCAGGTGAAGTAACTGAAGCCTGGATCCAAGTTTCCACACTTAGTTGGTAGTGGAACCCAAAGCGGAGCCCCATGTCCATTCTCTACAATACAGTCCTCAAGGATCTTACAGCTTAACTGGAAACTCAAAGTACAAACACCAACAGAACAATCTGAGACAGCATGAGAAATATCATAAAGCAAAATAATAAAATCATTGCTATTAAAATGGTAATTAGAGCTACCATTTCTTTAAGCACCTCTAGCCATTTACCTCCATAGCCCAAAGAACATGTAATTATAAGGCCACATTCAACATCATATCAGACAGACTAAAATATACTTTCATCTAAAAATGAATATAACTTTTTTACTATATAATTTTTAAAGGAAATATAAAATCATATAATTTTGACTCATATATAACTATATATAAAGATTTAGTTGAAGTGTAGTTGACAGTGAATAAATTAGATTTTAAGTAATTAAATAAATATAATTTGCAATTGTTTTTGTAGTTTAAAGCGAATTTTTCCCAGGTCTCCAGCATCTTTGTAGATATTGGAAATCTCAGAGGCCCTAGCACCTAATGCCTTACATGTGTTATCTAAGGCTTCTTTGTGTAGTAAGCACTGTTAGAGTCCCACTTCCAGATGAGAAAACTGAGGCTCATAAGTAAGGTGATTCAGACCTAATTTGGCCTGACTCCTGAGTATGAGCTCCTAACCTCCATGATATGGTGATTTTTTTCATTTATGACTCAGTTGTCAAATTAGTGCTGTCCATTGGATTTCCAGATATCCTGTGGAAGGTGAGATTTCTGTGCTCTGGAAAAAACTTACAAGTCTTCATGGAGGAGATATTCAAATTGGTTCTAAGGAGATGGGCGGGGGGTGGGGGTTGATACCAGTTTTTCTTTAGTGTTTTTATACCTGCCTTGCACGCTCTACAGGTTTCTCTTGCCTCATTTGTGCTTTCACTAAACACAGCTATCAAGCATACATAACACCTTTAGTAGCCTTGATGCCAAAGAGCATCCACCACCACTCTCCCCGCCCCCGGAAAAATATCTGAGTTCTAGTTACTCTGGTTACAGAGTAACTATCCTTGTAGCCAGAGCTAAGATCATAAGAGTCAGTTGCAGATTTTTGCCAACACAGTTTGCAATAGATTGAAGCATTGCCTTCCTTATAAAATATTCCTCAGCAGTCATTTCAACTGCAAGTAAGAAAGAGAACAGTGGCCTCCTGATCGAGCTCATTCTGTCATGAAGTAGCTCAGAGACCAACATTACAAAGGGCAAGCTGAGGAATGATTATTTATGGACTGAAAAGGCTGAACTCTTGGTTGCCCTGGATACCGTGTTCTCATCACTGTCCTGTTCTAGCAAGGACTGAAGTCTTCTGCATGACAACTACTCTGCTCTAAAAGTGTACAGCCCAAAATAACACCAGGTAATGAACTTAATAACCCCTCTATTTGACCAAATGAGAAATTAAAAAGTCTATTTTTTTAAGCCAGAGAAAATATTGAAAAGCCTACCTTTGGTATTCATAAGATAGGTTTAGTACTGCATCAAATTCAGTCTATATAACATTAGAACTATCACCAAATGGAAAATTGTATTCCTTAAAGAACTCTACATCTTGCTGCTTGTAAAGGGTTTAAATAGAATAATTTTACAAGCACTGTTGTGGTCTTTTTAAGAAATCATGACTTTCTCTTTATAAGTGTACAAAAAGTGAAAAACAAGTAAAAGAACTCATAATTTTCTTTATCACAATGATATCTGCTCTCTTGTATCTCAGTGTGTCACCATCCACCCTGGTGCTCTAGCCAGAAATTTGGAAGACATGTTTACTTTTCTCACTTCTTCGTCCCACATCCAATTGGTCTCCACATCCTGAGAATCCTTTCTCCGTTTTACCTCTTAACCTCCCTACCTAATCCCTAATACAACCTTGGCACTTTTTTCCTCCTTAACCCATGACAGATTATGCACTTTATTTTTCTTGTCCCTTAACATCTTTGTGCTTCTAGTCCGAGCACCATAGCCTGGTAGTTAGGAGCGTCAGTTCTAATATCAAATTGCCATGGTTCAGATTCAAGCTGTGACCTTACACTTGACATTGTATCTGAGACATAGTAAGCATTTAATAAATAAAGGTTATCTGTCATTATTATTCATTTTAGTGATCTTTCTAAAGCCCAGATCTGATCTGATATATTTTCTATGTGAAGCCCTTCAGTGATTCCCCATTGCCTCTTTAGTTTGGCATACAGGGATCCCATGATCTGAGACCCGCCCCTTCTCAGCCCCATCTCTCACTTATCTCTCACCTTTCACTCCATGCTTTAGTCCCACTTGTAATTCCCTAAATGCACTCTGCACATAGCCCTGTATCTTGCACCTGATTATCCTTAAGACTCAACTGCAAAGCCACTGTAGCCCTTCTCCAGGCCTAACTGTGAGGGACACACCTTCTCTTTACCACGAGAGCCAGGAATAGCTCCACAATAACTCTCTCAACAATTTGCTTATCTGTCTCACATTAGTTCATCCCATACATATTTTTGAGTTGATACAATGGCTAGTGAGCTAGACTGGATGCAGGGGAGCAAATAAGGTTTTGCCCAATCTTGAGATATATACAGTTTTGGAGGGAAGCAGAGGCAAACAGCTCACTGTAACTCAGGGTAATGAGTGATGAGAGAATAAGGAGTTAAGGGAGCACATGAGAGGAAGCTGTTCTACCGGTGAGTTTCAGGGATGCTTGCACAGAGAAGGTGACCAGTAAGCCAGAGTTCAAGAATAAGTTCAAGTTCACCGTGAAGACAAGAGGGGAAAGGAATTCCAAGTTCTGAAAAGGAACAGAGTTAAGTCTGTGGAGGGGACGGTAGAGTCTCTCCTCAGCAAGATAACCTCTTCTTAGTGCCCTTGTTTCTCCATCAGCCTGAAGAGGACTTGAAATGAGTTTTGTTTGTCTCACCATCACTACCCACCCCCTCCCCATCCAACATGTACAGGAAAACCACTCTCTCCTCTAGCCACACTGTGTGACTTACCCATCACTCGGTGAGCCTTACCCTTTGTTCAGATCATGCCATTACTCATGTCCTTTCTCTACCTGGCATGATCCTCCATCTCTGTTCTCTACCTAGATCACAGCTTTTGGGTTTGGGGTATTGTTTGTTTTTTGGCTGATTTTTTTTTTTTTTGAGTTGGAGTCTCACTCTGTCACCCAGACTAGAATGCAGTGGCCACTCCCGGCCGCTGCAGCCTCAACCTGCAGGCCTCCGACGATCCTTCCCCCTCAGCCTTCCAAGTAGCTGGAACTACAGGCGCGTGCTACCACATCCGGCTAATTTTTTTGATTTACTGTAGAGATGAAGTTTCACCAAGTTGCCCAGGCGGGTCTCAAACCTGTGGGCTCAGGCAATCCACTCACCTCAGCCTCCCAAGGTGCAGGATTACAGGCTGAGCCACAATATTTTTTATTAAAGACCTTATTTTCTTAGATCAGTTGTAGGTTCACAGCAAAATGAGAGGAAAGTTTAGAGATTTTCCCATGTACCCTTTGCAAACACATGGCAGCCTCCCCTACTAACCAGAGTGGTAATTTGTTACAATTAATGAACCTCCATTGACACATTATCACCCAAAGTCCATAGTTCACATTAAGTGAACTGTGGTGCTGCACATTCTGTGGATTTGGACTGATGTATAATGATAAGTATCTACCGGTGTTATCCACTGACATGGAAATCCTTTGTGCTCTGCCTGTTAATCCCTCTACTTGTTTTTGAAGGCCCAACTCACTCGTCACTGCTTCATGAAACCCTTCTCAACTCTCAACTCACCCTACACAGAATTATTTGCTTCCTTCTCTGGATTCCTATTATCTTCTGGCTCAATTATAACACTTATAACATCAATTAACCTCTGTTACTAACATCCCCCAGGCCTGCTTACAAATTCCTTGAAGGCAAAACCCCACCTTTTTATACTTTCTATGTTGAGCTCAAAGGCTGGCATGAGGCATCATGGCTGGTTATCAGTCATTGGTTGAATGAATCAGTTTGTTATATTTTTGAAAACTTCTTTTTTACTCTAAATACGGTAATTTTCATCAAAATTCCAAAATAAACATCAGCTTTGCTTTGCTTAAATAAATTCTGAGTGATGCCGGCAATATTTTATACTCAAGATTTGGTAAATGAATATTAAATATACACCCAAAAGAAAACTCTCTTCCTGAACAAGGCCTGATTACCAATAGTAAGAAAAAGAGATTTAGTCAGGTCACATTCAGTTTAGCCTTTTCACATGGTGACTTTGTACACATTGCAGTCTGAAACCAGAAAGCCCATACAGAGTAAAACGAAGTCTTTAGCAAAATCTATT